CAATTCCTGGTCGGGTCAAACCAAAGACTTAGAAAAAATGGGGGGGATGGGGGCTTGGTGGCCCTGGGTGGCCCTGTAAAGGGTCATTTTAGCACACACAGGCTCAAGAAAATTATTTAAAAAATTAAAAAGTTTTAAGGCAGAGTTGCATAGTATCCCTTTAAACTCCTTCTCAGCGTCTAGGGAGAGCACAACATCGACCTTTTATTTAATGTGTGTTTAGCTGTAACCATGGTAATTGTCTGTAATGTGCACACAGAGGTTGAAATAAGTGCTGCAGAGAAATTCCCAAGATTAGTCTGCTTTGTTTACAAATAGTTAAATTTTACCTGCATTCTAAATGAAATCCAGAATGGAGGAAAAGCCTGCTGGGTCATCCTGGATCTGAGCCTGTTGTGTGTATTTACCTACAGGATGTAATAAATGTTTACGAGGCTGAGTTTGGACCATTACATCTAAGAGAAAACATACAATCAGTGATTTTTTTATTGTTTACATTAATATACAAATTTACAAAGTATTGACCTCACAGCAAATAAGTAGAGCAGTATAATAAACAGGCTTTAGTAGTTAAACAGGCGTTGTGCACACAGGTGCTTTATGTCCCAGTGCTGGTGGTATCAGAGTTCGTCATCCTGCCGTCTTCTGTCGTCCTCATGATACGGCGTGATGTTTACTGATGATGAGGGAGGGGCTGTATGTGAGCTTCAAACTGGTCCTGGATCAAAGTGGGAGATGTTGGCAGGCACCTTTGTTGTCTGAATACTGAATACTAGAGGGTTGGTGGGATGTTGGTCTTTCCTAGAGTCTGAGGTGTAGGGCTAAAGTGTCATCACTCACTCTGGTCTGGTCCAGACGCCGTCTCTTTATTGTTGGGACTCTCAGTAGGTGACGTGAAGCTCCAACATCTGAGCGTTCCATCTTCCTTTGAGGAGAATAAAAGTAACATTAGCAAGCTGGCTAAATTATTCTTTACTAACATTTCACGGTCTTGGAGAAGCACATTTTCATTTACCTAAACATCAGACCAGAGTTTGTCCCAGCTGAGCTCATCAGGGCTTTATTCGGACGTGTGTCAGTGAAACGTGGCTCCAGTAGTCTGGATATGGACTCTAAGAAACAAAAGGAGCATTTTTATTTTTGTTTTAATTATTTTACAGGTGACTTTATCAGATTTCTGACAGTCATGCTCATACAGACGAGTGTCAGTGAGTTTAACTGAGTCTGACTGATGCAGAGTTAGTTTTGATATCTGCAGTGAGACAAAAAACTAACCTCACTTCACTCAGATTGTTCTTTAAAACTTGTATTAAATCCACTGTGTTGACCAGGGCTGCACAATAGGGGTTGTATGAACTAGTCGACTTCACGGCTCTGTAGTGACTTTTTATGCCTGTCATTGACTAGTCGCTGTCACGTGATAATGACTGACAAGATGCAGTCCTCCAGCAGGTGATGAGCCCCTGCATCGGGAGGCGGAGGCGACGCGCTGTGCCAGAGCGTCGGTACTGACACCGGCGGTAAAACAGACATTTAACCAAATTGTGACCTCTTCCCTCTTGCAATTTTACCTTCCCCTCACCCCCAACCTAATCTTAACCAGTGTGCATGCAAAGCTCCGATCGTTGACGCGCTGCTCCAGACATCTGCGTCCTGAGCACCGCCAAATCAGGTGTCACCACCTCAAAAACAAATTAAATATGCGATCGTTCATGTCGGCTCATTTCCTTTCATGTTTTCCGTCTGTTATTTGTGCCTGATGCGTTTCGCTGCTGCAGAGCGAGGCTCATCACCTGTTTTGTCCTCCGGTGACGCACCCCCAAAATTCCACTATCTCCGCTCCGGCACGAACTCCGCAGCAAAAACGGTCCCGTTGTAGTCGGCCGGCGAGCAGCGGCACTCCGCTGTTTTTGCGGTCGGTAGATCTTTTAGAACTGCAGTTCAAAGGTAACTCATGAGGTGAATATATATGAACCCAGGTAACAGTTTCTCCTTAGGATTGAGAGGAGATGCAGGAAGATAATAAACAGACAGGACAGAAAAATAGTCAAATAAAAACAAGTTAGTTTTTGTACCTGGTGGTTGCAACAAGCAGACACCATTGAAGGTAATCAGAAGTGAGGAACAGAAAATGAAATAATTATTTTAATGTTTAGAGCAGCAGGAACCCCGAGAGGCTGCAGGCGCATCAGTGAGTGTGCGGCTGCTGCGCAGGGGGAGTGGGGAGAGGGCTGAAGCAGAAACTACCGTTGTTAAAAGAAATGTGTTAACTTAGAAAATGTAGGCGCAATTTTAATTGTCAAAAACTCCAGCGAACCTACCGACCCCCCCCCCCCCCCCCCCCGCTTCAGGTGTATGGCGTCGTCAACGACTAGTCGAAGTCGACTCGATTTTCATTACTTGACTGTTGACTTTTAAAAAAATTAAGTCATGCAACCCCTACTGCACAATATATTGAAAAATTATTGTCATCGCGATAACAGGGCGTGCGATAGGCCCATCGCAAAACACGGCAAGAACAGCGATAAATGTTTGGTTCAACATTTCCATCCGTGTCATACATCAACTTTTTGTAAACCAGCTCTGTTTTTTACGCAGAAGTATTATTTGACCAATCAAATGTAGCCCTTCTGATATGCGGCCAATCAGATGGGTCCGTTCACGTAATACGCCCGCCCCCTACGTAGACCCTTAGGATGGAAAGCAACACCCGAACAGAGTTAGCGGCGCTGTTCCCTTGTTCGTCATGCTGGCTCAGAGCAACGAACGCACTTTGTGCTGAGGTTTCTGGATTCAGCGCTGCTTTCAAACGTGAACGTGACTCCGCTCTGTGTCGTTAATCATTTTTACCGGGCCGACTCCGACACGTGCCAGTGAACCAACCCACCTTCATGTCGCTAGTGTTAGCCCCAGGCTCCGGTTAGCTTCCAGCTAAAAGGCTGCAGCACTCTCCTCCCAGTCCCACCCTGCTAAAGAGGGCCTGGAAAAGTTCCCCCACACATCAAAGTGATTTTTCATTTATGAGCTTTTATAACCTTGTTAATCAGGATAGTTGATTTGCTGCTGCACATAAACTGTCAGTCAGAAGCTCTGCTAGCCGCTTATCTTAGAGGAGCTAGTTCCATTTGTTAGCTTGTTATCAGAATCATAGTTGCAGTTTCATCATCTGAGCTGCTTTTTAAGATCTAGGTAAACTTGTTCCATTTGGGGTTAAAAACAAACGTTTTCACGTATTTTCCATGTAGTTTTTTGCCAGTTCCTCTTCTGAAAGGTAGACAATTGTTTTTCTCTTTCCCTCAAAAAATCTTAATATTCTCCTAGTTTGGCCCAGCACAGTTCACTTCCTAATAGCAGCAACAGCCTTATATCATAACCACATAAGTGGAGAAAATGCTCAGTAGCAATGAGAGAATTTGCTGTTGCATTTAAGTGATGTTAACTATTATTTAACATTTAAACTTATTTTCTGATTTTTTTATTTATTATAAAAACCCTGGTAAGGGATGTTTTTCTGTATTTGGAGCATCAGAAAAAGTTTTATGGTGGTGGTGATGTTTTAAAGTCACTGAGAAACTGCATGCATGCAGTTTGTTGTTTTGCTGCTAATACAGTAGCAGGTGCAGCTGCTAATACGGTAGCAGGTGCAGCTGCTAATACGGTAGCAGGTGCAGCTGCTAATACGGTAGCAGCTGCACCTGCTACTACAGTAGCAGGTGCAGCTGCATATTTTTGCAATAAAAATGTTATGTTGTAATGGAATTCATGCATTAGTTTTTGTTTGCTTTGAACCCAGAGCAGACGTCACACGCCAGATGACATCAACACTGCATACTTTAGTATTTGTTCATTTATCGTGAGTAATATCGATATCGCAATATTAAGCACTGTTATCGAATATCGCAGGTTTTCCCAATATCGTGCAGCCCTAGTGTTGACGCACTTTAGTGACTTTCTGTCTCGCTGCATGCTAAGATCACATCACACTCAGAGTACAACACACAGGCTCTCTGCTGGCTACAATGAGTAGGTTATCATCTGGCGTAAAAAAAAAAAGCACAAAGCACTCAGTACAGGACGTACTAATTGGGTGGTGGGAGGTTGGAATGAGTAAAGAATGGGGATCCGCTGCAGGTGGTGTTGACATCCCTCTTAGGTCTGCTCCCATCAATTATCCAATCAGGATGCTTTCCGGGCCACTGGTTCACTGATGACAGAAGGGCAACTGCAGTAAAATGAACATTTAGGAACAGAACACAAAGCAGCAGGACCCAAAACAAAACACATATGACCCTTGGTCGTAACAATGGTGCTTGCAGTATATCTCTTCAAGCTCTCTCATCTGGGATTATGAAGGTCTACATCCTACTGCTCCAGCAGTTGTTTCTGTTTCAGGAACTCCCAACAGATCAGTGGTTTCCCCTGACTTACTTATAACCTGCTGTAGCTTTATCTGTGCCGCTAGAGGTTCTAACAAAGTGGGTAATCCAAACTACGTACAAGTGACTGAACAGTTTGGTCCCTTATTTTGAAAAATGTAATTTTCTCTTGTCGGTCTTTTTTCCCAGTTGGGGCTTTTGTTTTTTCCTATTTTTACCAGCCTTGTAACTTGTTAATTTTAGCAGAGGGCTAAGGCTACGCAAACATGAGCTGTTAGCAGCATGTCTGTTTGGCTGCCGTGTGGCTCAATTCCACCACGGATGATTGGCTGTTCATCTTTTCTTTATATCGAGGTTCTGTCAACCCGTTCTCAAATGTCTGAGAACGTTATTTCTAAATGTAAAATGGTATTGTTCTATCACCTAGCCCTGGTTTCAAGTCTTATTTATTTGAAGTCCTTATTTTGATTAAGAAACAAGATAAACTCTAAAAAGTCAACTCGGTCAACAAAAAGTGTACAAGCAAAAGTTAAATCAGTTTTATTGTTCTGCCTTGACAAGCCATATAATAAAAAAAGAGGAATCTGGTATGCTTTTAATGAGTTTTCTGTTTGTTTTTTATAGGAGAGTCAGGTGTTGCTAACCGTGACTAATCCAGTGGAGAACATCACCCACCTCACACTGGCTCCTTGTGAAGAAGGAGATCCCGATGACATCAATAGCACTGCCAAGGTTCATTGTTTACATTTATTGATGTTTTTTATTGGATGAGAGGACCTGTTGGAAAAGTTTTCCTTAGAAGTAAAATAATAAAAAATCCAAAGTCTACATCAGGCAATTTAACATTATTTTATTTTGAAAGATAAAGAAAGGCTGATACTACATTGTCTGATGGCATTGTCTCACAGCTAAAGTCACAACGCATTGAATTAAAATGAAAAAAATATATATAAATACAATTAAAAAAGGGCTGTACCATATATTTAAAACTTGTCAATTGCTGGGTTTCACATGACGTAGCGTCTACGTCACCAAATGCAGATGGGGTCCGGAACTAGCCGGGGCAGCACAGAACGCTATTCACATTGGTGACTGGATGTTAAAATGCCAAAATTCTCTGCTGTCTATGGTTATCACTCAGTCACTCTAATCGGGACAAAGACAAACATTCTGTTCAAGTCCCGAATGTAGTGCGTCACAAAGGACTTGATTTAAAAAAAACATAATGAAAGCAGATGGCAGAAATAAATCAGTAATCTACAGCTTAAAACAGCTGAAATGGACAATGCTGGAGTTTACAGCAATCACTTTCTAACAGGTACGATATTATTGAGTGTTTTATTAAACGGTTGCTTTGAAACAGCCAGAAAAACGACAGTTTAACAGTTTTATAATCACGTGTTCTCACTGCAGACCCTGCTTTCAGAGTGCTAATGTTTTTAGCAGTTAGCTTGGCGTTGTAACGTTGCATTTATACCTTATTGAAATCAGACAAACGTACCAGAAATTTGGATTAAAAAAGGCATAAAAAGTTAGTTGCAAGTAGATCCTAGCACATTCTAGGGATGGGTACCTTTGACATTTGATTCGATACCGTACCAATTCCCAGTACCTACGAATCGGTACCAGTACTTAACAGTACCAATTTTCGATACTTTTGATTGATTAATAGTTATTTAAATTGCTTTTTTAATTAAATATATATTATTTTCTCAATATATAACCAAATTTGATAAATATCATGATAAATAACATACAACTGTTTGTATTTTCTCATCGCGATGTTGTACAAAATTCAATATGAAAAGATTTAACAGCTGTTTCTAAATGATGCTAAAACAAACCCAACTCCATGCACTCCTAATCCACTTGTATGCCCTCTGGAATAACTATGATGAGGAGACCATGTATTATAAACTACAAATGAAACTAAAGCAAAGTTTGTAGTTTATTATTGTGGTGGTTCACAAACTAAACCCAGCTGGTACCACCTTTCCTCTCCTTTCCCCTCCAGACAAACTGTGCTATGGTGGTTCCTTGTAGTTTTATACCTGAAAATTACACTGAAGCAACCATCTTTGCTGTGAACAAAATTTACTGTGTATCTTTATTCCTTTTGCCGTCCATTTTCAAACTTTTCATTTTTCCTACTAGGAAGTTGGAATTTTCGAGAAGAAGGTGAATGCACCATTAGCTATGCAAACAAAACTATCAAGCTAATGTTATCCAAACAGTTTATTTTACTGCTGGAGCAGATTAAGATGTCTCACACTCAGATCATTGTCGCTGGTTTCGTCTTCACCCAATAGTCCATCGCATTTAGTGAAGTGAAGCCAAACTTTAGAGCATGTTTGCATTCTTCTAGTCAGATTTTCGGCATTCCAAGGAGAAAGTGAACACACCATTAGCTGAATGGAAGCTAACATATAAAGCTGACGTTATCTTGAACATTTTATTTACCTACCTGAGCAGTTTATGATGATGATGCCTCATTTAGATCGTTGTTGCTGGTTTCATCATCACCCAGTTACCCATCCCAGTTAGTGAAGTGGACCCAAGCTCTAGAATGCTTCCTCTCTGCCATGCTGCTTTGTTTACTACTCGCCCACAGTGACTGACAACGCTACGGGTAAATCCTCCACAGTGTATGTAAAGTCAGATTTTTAAAACCATATGGGTCACAACCTAAAAGAAGATGTATAATTTATTTCATGATATTGTGTCTGTGATGGCTCATTTAAAGCCTTAGTAAAATCGTTTTCATCCATCGCACTGTGTTGTATCGGTTTTGTTGCCGAGGCAAAACACTTGCCCCCATTTGAGTTGCGCGTGGCTGCAGACATCGCGTGAGTGAACTACAGCAATATTCGCAAAATTGAAATTGCAACAGATCTGCAAACACAAAGTGCCGTTAGGGGTTGCAGGGACTAACCGTTTTGACTCGTAACCACAGTGGAAATGCTGCAGCTGTCCCACACTAAAGACTTCAAATAAAAAAAGACAAAAGCGTGACCCACATGGACCAAAGCAACAGTGAAACGGATGCACTCAGCAGAAGCTGAACCAGTGTCGACAACCTGGGAAGCCATTAAAGTCTTCTGTTTGGGAATATGTTGGATTCCCACAGCTGCCAAAGGAGAAATGTAGGAAGATGGCTTACCCATCGGAACTTGCAGAAAAAAAGTTGCGACACCCTCAGCTTGTTTCATGATCTCTGAGATCATTTTCTCTGAGACAAATACGATAAAAATAAGTCAGATTTTAATGAATGAAGTGATTTAACAGATCTAGAGAACAATAAGTATATCGGTGGGCCTCTACTGCCACTCATGCAGCCCACCTTCTTATCTTTAACTGTCGTTTTTTTACCTCATCACTCGATTCTTTAACAGCTTAATTTGGTCAATGTGCTTTAGGTTTTGTTACCTTGTAAGGAACTGGTCCTGGCAGGAAAAGATGCTGCAGCAGAGTACGATGAACTGGCTGAACCTCTGGACTTCCAGGACGATCCAGAGTGAGTAAACACTCATCTTCAAACACACACCCTGACGAGCGAGAGCAAGCACCCAGCTTTATCTTCCTGTATTTTCCACAGCGTTGTTGCCTTCAGGAAATCAAACAAGATTGGTTTGTTCATCAAAGTGATTCCCCAGGATGAAAAGGATGCAGATGTCACTGTTTCATTTAAGATCCGACACGATTTCCACAACTTTGCCGTTCCCATGCGGCTGAGCGAGGAGGGTAGCGATGGCGCTCCTGAGGCCACTTGGCTCTCTCATCATGTAGAGCTGAGGCTAGGACCACTCGCCGCTTGAGCTCTGTTTAGACCTTTCATCTAGTTTCAGTATGCTTAACTTATAACTGATTCAGCCTATCATTGTGTAGGAACAGCTTTAGTTGCAGACCAGGTTTTCTCCCCTCATTTTAGCTTAAACAGCAGGAACATCTTGGAAAAATGCAGGTAGTATGATGAGCCATCTTTCATTGCTCAGTTTATTATTACAAACTGTTTAAGTGCTGCTGAATGATGTAACGTAGGTGTTACTTTGAATAAACGTTATACCATCTAATATTTGCTGTTTGCAGTATTTTGTTAAAGCATTCTTGTCCTTTAATGTATTTTATGGTGGCTTGTTCATGTTTACTGTATTAAAAATAGAGCTGCTATGATGGATGTTCATATCAACTACCAACGTTTTGAACACGTAATTATTCACTGTAGAAGTGATCGGACAGGTCCTCCAGTGCACCGCACCTCTGTATTCCTGTCTGCATCGATGATGAGAGATCAGGCTCGTGGACAACTTTACCTCTGATTTTGAGCTCTTATCATCATGCATGTTTGTGCGGTTTTACTACTGAGGTGTACTAGTACTGAGCTACTTGTGAGTAGGGCAGCAACGATTCGTCAACGCTGTCGACAAATATCGACAATAGAAATAGTCGGCAATGAATTTCATTGCCGACGTTGTCGCCAGACGTGTTTTTTCCGACTGAGTGAGACATCTCGCTTCATTACAATCTCTGCCGAGAGTTGCACATGTGCAATAGCTTCTCTGCTGAGCACCAACTAACAGAAATGGCTGCGTCCGACGCAGCAGCTACGCGTACCAAAACATCTAAAGTTTGGAGCGTTCTAGCCTGGATTTGGTGAATAAAAAGATGAACTGCATTATTTGTAAAGCAGTTCTTGCGTATCATGGCAGCACCTCGGTAATGCATGAACACTTAAAGAGGAAGCTCGTCGGACAGTTGAATGAAAGTCTGACTCACCCCGGTAAGATTGAATTAACACGAAAGTCAATACGTTTTGTTTAGGATTGTTCTAAAATAAAATGTTTTATTTTATTTTAATTACCTTAAAAGACTCAAAGTCTCTTTTTACACTTTATATTTATTTAGTCAGGATCGTTGTCAAGTCGACGCCAGAAACAATGAAACACAACTTGAATATCAGATCAACAACAAGGCTTTATTCAACCGGCATTCATACAAGTTATCAATCATGAACGAAACATTTCTCTTACCGTTGCTTATGGGTGGAGAGCTGAACACCCCAGTTAGAAAACGTAATCCATGATAGGTGAAGAACTGAACACATGTAATCCATGAACCTCGTCAGGTAGAATCCTTCAAGCAGCTCTAACCCCCCTGAGCCCTGCTCTGCTCCTTATACATTCCCTGATGTGCGTGCAAAGCTGCACACCTCCACCATGATTACCTTGATTACATCCTCATGATCACATTATGTTCGGCTCTACCATGATTACCCTTGATTACATCCTCATGATAAGTGTGATTGACAAACAGTAGTGATCAATAACTTATATAAAGCAATTATACAACAGATGACAAGTTCATTTTTATTACATTCCACTCTTGAACTTTTCATCTAATTTATGTAACATATCCATCACCATTTCCCCATCAAAACCAACGTCATTTATAACATACCTTGTAGTTCCACTTTAATTTTCATCGTAGTCTTTGCATTATTACCCAATTTATTTCTCTTCTTAATCGAATAACATACCAACAAATAATAAGATTACACAATGTTAGAATGCTGATTATAATTAATGCTGCAATCATAGGTGGAATTAGCACTTTATTAGCGGTACTCGACATGCCTGTAAATATATCCCACCAATGATGAGCGGAAGCCTGTTCAATCAATGTAGCAACATGTTTTATTTCCCCTTGTGCCACAAGAGTAGACACCATGAGCCTGGAAAGGTTGGACCTATGAGAGTCGATCAATTTTGCCACTTCAGTGGAACCATCCAATGCGCATTTGAATCGTTCCAGTGAGAGTGTCCAAGGGGAGTGTAAAACCTCCCATTGTATCTTAGTCAGCCGACTAGATACAGTGTAATTACTCAACCAATAGGTCACGTTATTCCATTCCCACATATGTATACCCTTGAGACAACCTGAAAAGGGAACTGAAGGTACCTGTGGGGAATTGGTCATTGTAGCCACGCATAAGGTGTTAGGACCCACCTGCCAAAACTGTTCCTCTGGGGGTGTGACCGTCCAATCACAGAGTACGACCCTTGAATCAGTGAAACATGGATTGCTATGTCCTTTTACCAATGGGCAGGCTAAACCCTTATCAGTCTCATCACAGTGTTTTACTTCATATGTTCGATTTGTTTTAACATCCCACCACTCTCCACTAACATGGAGATACCAAAACCCTTTAGTGGTTATCACCGGCAGTATCTGATATCTACACACAGTCATTACTGATGTCATATTATACTGATCCCAGTATCCAGTACACATAGATTTATTACAAATCGTCATTTCTGCATGTGGCTGTAGCCATAATGAACTACTGATGTTCCATAATGTTCGCCATGCATGATAGTTATTACTCATTACCTGTATTTGAAACCTATTTCTTTGTGTCTCAGCATGAATAGTCTGCAAGGAACAGACTGTCCAATTACCTATGTGTGACAAATTATGCAATGCATCATAAGTTTCATTCCAAAGCTTTAGATTCCATTTAAATACACTTTTCCACACATCACTTCCTTCTAACTGACTAGATACAGTCGAAGGCATCCATCTTGCAGTCTTGGTGACAGCTTGTGCGGTGTATTCTCCAGTGTTGGACAGCATAGTTCGTGTTACCTCATTGTCTGCTGTGTTAGCCAGACCATACAAAGTTCCAGTTCCTCCTAGCACGGTGTCATACCATGCTCGCCTCCTCCTGTTGCAAGGCGGAATAGGAGGGAATTTCACAGTCCATCGCACATATTCGGCTACCCTTATTTGTCCCATTTGTTGACAAGTGTGAACCAGGGGAGCTACAGCTGTCTGCGTAGCTCTAGCTGTGTCGGGCAGCACCCAGAATATGTACAAATAGGTGTGTCCTCCTGTGATTACAGTTCCATTCCTGATCCAGAAATCGTGATCAACCTTCATACTCCAATTTGTGCCATTTTGTATGCAAGTACCATTCCCCTGATGGTATGCACAGATGCGCGCTGCAGAATTAAAGGTTACTGTTGATCCTTGAACCAACACCCCCGGGCTGATCACCCTTCCTCGGAATTTAAGACATCCTCTGCACCGGTACATCTTACCGGTAGATGTTAGGTTTCCCAAGTAGCAAGCGTCATTTGCTCTGCATGTGAATGTGCCTTGAGTGCGGTTGGACATACTGCTAACCAATTCCAGATGGCCCATGACCCCTTCTTCCAACACTTGTCCTTCCGTGAGCCCCCAACAGAAATGTGCCCTCAGTGCGATGACAGCGAGGACATGGAGGACGATGACCAAACATCCGACACCACCAGGTCCGCGGAGCCCATCCATCGCCTCGACAAGGGTTCAATCCTTTTGTAGGGGAAGGGGACCCAGTCAACCACCGTCACTCAGACACCCGCCTATGGGATACATACAAAACTGCAGATAGAATGACAAGCATTAATTTTCTCTCCTGTAACATTTGTTTATCGGAATATTAATCCATTTTTCCTCTCCGGGGAACAATACACTTACCACAGCATCTTTTCCCTGTGCAATAATCTCTCCAGCTCTGGGAGGACCATTGAGCTGCTCCACCCACACTTTTGCCCCCGCAGTAAAGTCTGATGATCCAAACCCAGTTTCACCCCTCTGAGTGATAGTGGTAGGTTTAGTAATCTCTTCAACTTTGGACATTACACACCGTTTGATTACTAACTGAGCTATCTTGTCTCCTTTTTCCAGTACCAACGGTTCTTTACCTGTATGCTGACACACCACACCTATTTCCCCTTGATAGTCTGAGTCTATTACCCCAGCTAAAATGGTTAGACCCCTCAAAGCTAAACCACTTCTTGGACACACATGAGCATAAGTTCCTGGTGGACATTGAATTCCCAATCCTGTTTTTACCACTGTCACTTTATTGGTTACTAAAGTGATGCTTTCCAAGATTTTAAGATCTAATCCCACAGAGCCCACAGTTGCTCTAACAGGGAGTTCTGCCTCAGAAGTTAGTTTCCACATTCGTATAGGAGGGTCAGTAGAAGTTGTTTCCCTTCCTGCCCTGGCAACCATTAGCATCAGTGGAGTAACTCCATCCCCCACGGGTCTGTTATTTAACTGATGTACTGCCCTAGTCAGATTTTCTCTCCATTTGTCCAAAGAATTAGTAACCGATAGTTTCCTTAGTTTCTCTTTCAGTAACCCATTCATTCTCTCAATGAGTCCACTAGCTTTCGGGTGATATGCTACATGATAGATCCATTCTACCGCGTTGTTCTCTGCCCATTCTTTGATCTTATTTCCAGTGAAATGGGTACCATTATCAGTCTGAACCTGCAAAGGTAGTCCATAATAGGTCTCTATTAATGACAGACATTTCAATGTAGCCTCCTGATTGGCGTTATGACACGGATGCACCACCAGTACCCCTGACACCGTATCCACGGCTGTGCATGCATACTTACAGTTTTTACTTTTTGGCAATGGTCCAATGAAATCAATCTGCCAACACTGTCCCGCTTGTTTACCTCGATGTATCTGTCCCTGTATATGTCGAGGGATTCTCTTTTTCTGATGTTGACAAGGTTCACAATCTTCTATGGCAGTTTTAATATCATCAATGATGAGATCTATTCCTCTGTCCCTCGCCCATTTCAATGTTCCCTGCACACCCCAATGTCCAGCAGTAACGTGAGCCCATTTGGCTAATCCAGGACTTGATTGTCTTACAGCCTGAATTTTCACTATCTTATCTACAGTCTGATTATGCAGGGATTCAGGATCATTGTTATTAGTATGAGCATCCACATGTAATACTGACACAGGAATATTTTGGCATTTCTCCCAAATGTCCTTCCATAGGTCAGCTCCCCAAACCTCTTTTGAATGTATCTTCCATTGTGTAGCATGCCAAGTTGGCATCCAAGTTAACATTCCTTGGGCTACTGACCAGGAGTCAGTATAAATACTTACTCCCTGCACCCCAGCCGCCATTATTACCATGTGTACTGCTTTCAACTCCGCCCATTGACTACTCTTTCCTGTCCCTGTGAGTTCCATAACTTGTTGTGTACCAGGGTTAAAT